TCTTAAATAGATATACTGTATACTGGAAACCGAAGCCGCTGATAAACTTGAAGCAAATTTGAAACTTTATAATTCAAGATGAGCTGCTTGAGGCCAATTATTTTCTATTTTCGTATAAAATACCGTAATGATCCGTTAATGCTTAACATTCTTAACATTTAGAGGCTGTACATTGTTGAAATACTTTCGTCCAAAATTGAATAAAATTCAAATGCCGTTATAATAATTTTAATTATACAAGGTGTCCTGAACCAACCAAATCACCCGTTAATAGTAGATTCCTGAGGTTATATCATTTGGAAAAAAAAATCTTTATTCGAACCAAAATATCGAAGACTGCAATAGTTTTTAAATGAGAGATATTGAAAATTTATCAATCAGATTGTTAAAATTCACACGCTCAGACACGTCGCATATTGATCTTTATATCCTACCATGTTAAAAACATCAGAAATTTGCTATTAACGGGTGATACGGTTAATTTGAAACCTCTTGTATATTTTATATTGTTATGAAATTTATACTCTAAATAATAATAAAATAAAACAAATTAAATTGACTTACTAGCACGATGCGCAGCAGCGGAATTATTTATAAGTTGATCTGTAACATATAAAATACATCAAAATTATAGCAGCGTTTAAAATAATTATTTGAAAAATATTTATTACGCACATTAAACATTTACTTTTTGTAAATGATGATAACAAATAAATGATACCCTAATGCAGGGCTGGGCAAAAAGTATTTGAAATACAAAATACAAAATACTGTCGATCTTAGTATTTTGATAGAAGATTGATAGTATTTTATATTTTGTATTTGATAAAAGATTGATAGTATTTTATATTTTGTATTTCAAGTACTTAATGATGTATTTTGCCCAGTCCTGCCCTTGCTCCGCCAGCGCCCAATGCCCCTTCTGAGGCTCCTCCTCCTCTCAGTCCTTTTTGCAGTTCAAAACATACGTTCGTAACGCGAATACGGAAATCGCCCGATGTTTTAAACGGCACTCCCGACGTGTACTTTGTCATTTTAGGACAATGATATAACTCGAATATTTTCGCACGGAATACATGTTCGAACACTCTCCGCAATAGATAACGACGGAAAAGATGAGATCGGAAACGGAAAGTAGTAAGGGTAGTATTATTGGAAAGAGAACCGATCTATTCTGTACAAGTGCTGTCGTACGAATAAAACATTAAGGACAAAGTCGCGTCCATTCCAATTTGGAAAAATGTGGAGAAAAAACTACAAAACCGATAGCGCGCAAGCGAGAGAAAGAGAGAGAAAGGAGATATAAAATGCACAGACTAAGTACAACAACGAAAACAACCCACCACACGTGAACCGGTCTAGAAACTTTTGACATTAGAGTATCGAACATTTATCGAAATCGAGTTTAAACGATTTCAATTCGATTTCGATAAATGTTATAACGTTAAGAGTTTCGCAGTTTAACTTGTGGTGTTTGGTGATATTGTCGCCCTTAGTCTGCGTGATCTATTTCCTTCCTCTTCTCCCCACCCCCCTCTCTTGCACTATGTATCCGGCATGCGTATTGTTGCATCCTACTCTCCACATTCTCTCAAATCGGAATCGGCACGACTTTGTCCTTAATACATTTACTGCACAGCGGCACCTCGTACGGGTCAGATCAATCCGTATCGACGCGTTGTCCTCTCCAATAGTACTGTCCCCATTATTTCCCGTAGTTTTCGACCTCACCCTTTTCCTTCGTTACTTGTTACGAACACGGCAATGTGAAATCCGTGTCGAACGTGTCGAACGTGTAATCCGTGCAATGATATTTTGTGCGAGTTTTACTTTTGTCCTAATACGACAAAATACGCGTCGGGAGTGCCGTTTCAAAATATTTCTGTATTCGCGTTACTAACGCGTATAAATGCCTTAAACTACAAGGAGAAGTGACAAGAGGAAAAGGAGGACTCGGGAAGGACATCCCGAGCGCCGGCGGAGTAATAATAGGTAATTATTTATTTGTTATCAATCATTTGCAAAAAGTAAAAGTTTGATGTGCATAATAATTATTTTAAACGCTGCTAATTTTGATGTATTTTATATGTTCACAGATCAACTTGTGAATAGTTCCTGCTGTGCATCGTGCTGATAAGTCGATTTAATTTGATTTTTATTTAATATCATTAAGACAATAAATTTCAAAATAATGTAAAATATACAGTGTTTCCGTTGATCTGAGACACGTATATTATATTAATGTTAATGCACATTAATTTCGAAAAATATACTCTATATCTCTGACATACAGTTTTTGTAAATTTTAGATAATATAATTTTTTCTAATTATTGTAGATTTTGATCAACAACATCATTTTGAAAGATGTCTTTATTAGTTCTATCCACATCAATCATTTTCCTTGTCATGTATTTTTTTACGCACTATCGCTCTTCTTGTGTACTTCTTCCTGTTTTGTGAGAAGTTGACACTCTGCTATTATCAATGGCGGCTTTATATACTCTCTATATTATAATATATTATTTAACTTCGTTTTCGATAGGATCAAATTTTAATTGCGAGTGTAAATGAATAGGTGCGCGATGGAAAACAAAAGAACCTCATCACAAAGACCGCATTAGCTGCCAGATTGTTTTCAAAATAATTACACGAAACAATGAAAATGTTGGCCCACTAAAGATGCTACCATTGTTCTCCTTCCATTCCTTATTTTCTCTCGACTTTTATAATACGACATATTATAAAAATAACTTTAATTTCGGAAGGTGATCGAAATATAATGTGCAAAATCATTATCATCGCAATAAAAAAATAATTGAGGGAAATAAATCCGAGCTGATATTTTTAATTTCTAAAAAAATCTTTTCTCATATTATTTCCTAGCAGCGTTCTCGTTGGAAAAAGAATAATTTTAGTAACACCGGAAATACGCGAATGTTTTATCGCATTGTCCTAATTACTCGATGAATGTTCCTGACCGCTTCGGTAATGCACCGTACGCTCACAAGGAACAAATATATCCGACTATCATGCACCCACCTAATCCAGGTTACTCTCTTCGTGACCCGTTGGTAGAAGCTACCTCGGAGCTCGCATTGTCTACTCTAAAAGCACGAAGTGCGATCGATAAATCCCAACGATGCCGGACTATAGACATTTCGCTGAATTCAGCACTTGTCCTATTTGCACCACCATCTGCCTTTGAGTTTCTCGAGACGGGGAAAGCTCTCGCGGTGACGTGACGAACCCTTTCGTGCAGATTCGTTTGAAGTCCTCTGGGAAAAAAAATCCGAGATTTCGCGTCGGGGCGCCCAATCTCCGACCCTTGAATTTTTTCTCTCCCTTCCTCTTTTGGTTGCCGCACCGTTTCGCTGTACAGAGAGACTGCCCAGCAAGGTAGACTCTCGGCGACGGCACCCTTGCCCTTGACTACAGAACGCGAGAACGCTCGTTTGAGGGGGCTGTCTCTACCGGCAGACAGGTCGGGTAGGCGCAAAAAAGAAAATGGGGAGCGAAAGGGGTAAAAGAGGAGCGACACAGACGCATGCCGTCCTGCCTCCGCACCTTTCACTGTCTTACTCTCCTCGACGCGCTGCGCGTTCGTCCGTCCGTTCGTACACACCGCATAGTTGCATGGCGTCTACGTGCGTCGCTCTACGTGCCGACATAAAGTGAGTGGAGTCGCGTCGAGTGTAGGGTGCGGAGTGCTTCGAGACGGGTGCGTCGAGTGGTCGTCCTAGTCGGCGTTGGGGTGGTTGGTTAGTTGTTCGCTTGGTCTCCCGTCCAACCATAGTTGGCTCGAGGCCATTCATGTAAGGATCGACGCGGTCGTATCGCCACATTGTAACGCCGCGTTGTATCGTGACGCAACAGCATTTTACGGACAATAATTACGCGCGAAGAATTAACGCTTTCATAATAGCCACGTGAGAGTGCTTTTTCACGTGTAGAATGTCTTTTGTCTAATTAATGGTTCCTCTAATTATGTGTCATTGTACAATAGCGCGCATGAGTTTGACATAAGCTGGCGATAAAATCGAAATTTTGTAAAATATGATAAATGGCACCAATAAATATTTTCATGTGACTTTCATACTTATTTTTGCATCCTAATTGTGCCCTTCAATTTTACTAGCATTATACGCATGATTACGAGAGTTCATATCGGGGCAATCGACCTCGAGTGCACTCTCGATGTAATAGACGTAGACTCGAAGCGACGTAATCAAACGGTGCATTAAATGCAACGTTTACGACTAAAGATCGATGTGCAAAGTATATATAGCGGTACGAACACGAACGTTGCGCTACGTCAATGCAAATAAGTAACTTGACGTAGAAAACGCTACTACGTTTTATCTTTGTGTGATGTATAATCAGAATCTACAAGTCTATAGCAGGCAACAAATAGAAAAGACGATTTATCGAATTTACTGTAAAGCATTTTCATCCGCCAATACGTGATTCATTTATAAAATCATTGAAAATCACATTTTCTCTCAGTGCTGTCATATTGCGTAATGAAGTTTATGGCAGAAAATCAAATTTGTATGTCATATCATTATGTATCTTTTTATCAAATTACTTAAAAGAGATCAGTTAAGATTCTATTTCTATTTAAAAACAAATATTAGCAATATTTGCAAATTTCTGCATGTCAATCTATTTTTCTTGCAGCTGTTTATGCGCACCGATTTGTGTTACTTGCAAATTAATTCGATGACGCGTCAAATTCGAGCCGTAGAATCAGCTCGCGAGTATAACAGCTTTTGCAGAACACTTTATTGAATTCTTAACGCATTCTCAGCCGCTGTAAATTCAAAAGAAAGAGAAATTCAGCAACAGCGGCGCGCGAGACTTTAAAGGATTCTCTACATTTCCGGTTTAACTATGTTGACATGCGGCAGCCCGAACCACTATTTTGCGGGCGGTCGCAGATATTGCGCGCTTGTTGTACGCCGTTTCAAATGCATGCAGCTTAGAAATATATGAGACATACCTTTCAGATGTTCTGGGGTATCCGCTGCGCCGGCTCGCATAATATCGCTGAGATAGTGTTCCAAGGTCCTCATGTTGTCCAGTGGTGAATTTCCATTAGCCGTCATACGATCCTGAAAAATACCAAGACCATAAAACTTTATATTTGTAATGGCTTTTTATAACTTAATTGAATTGTGGTTTTGTGGTGAAAAAGCTATTTAAACATCGGTGCTCGAAGTACAGGATAATTCTCAATTGCATATATAAATTGAATAATACTTCAGGAGATAAATGTAAGATTAAAAACAAGAAGAAACTGCTACATGAATATGGATTGTTTAGGCTTCATTGTTTGTATTACAATATGATGCAAAGAAGGTGGTTGAGGTTATTATCTTCCGCTGTAACGTACGCTGCACACATCTTTTGACGTTCTACTTTTTTCTTACGAAGCTAAGTGAAGCTATTTATCACGATTTTTTACAAAATATTCTACCATTCTGGAAGGCCCTGGAAGATGTGGCTCTGTATGCTATGACCTACATATGGTTTATGCATGATGGTACTCGACCACATTTTCTTGCTGCAGTTCATACATTTTAAAATTATATTTTTTCAAAACGATGAATAGGACACGGTACAATCTCCTCGGTCTTCTGATTTAAATTCTTCAGATTTTTATGTTTATACTTCAGGAAATATTTAAGACGGATTTTAATAAAAATTGTACTTTTAAACAATCAACAAAGATATAAAATATAGATATCCAAAACTAATACAATTTTTCAAATAGCTGTGTCGCAATTAAGTACTCTGAGAACTCAAACAGAATTTAATATTTCAAAATATTAATTTTAATTTCAGAATGCATCAGTAAACAAGATGACTGGACATTTGTCTATGTCATTTAATTCACAATTTCGAATGGGCAATATTCAGACTTCCATTATAATGATTGTCTCGTGCAAAATATAATAAAAACTGACGGTGTTCGCTATGATACATAAAAAGCTGCACGTAAAATGATGAACGACATAAATTTTGGATTTTTCAATTTTCGCCGCGAGCCATTCCGAGATAAGACGCTTATTTCTAGTTAGGAAAAAGCCTTCTAGCGGTGAGCGAATGTTCTGGATAAAATAGCGGCAAACCAACGGGTTTTCTCGACAGAGGGAGGACAAGTGAAGCGCAGAACTTGAAAAACGATAAGGGAAGTAATGTTCCTAGCAGTGGAAAGAAGAATCTGCCAGGAGGAAGCATACACCACTTGTGAACAGCAGGAAAGAAGTGTAGGAGTAAAAGACGCAAGAGAAAAGGCCTGTAATAGACCACTTGCAACGAATCGAGGAGTGTAGTTAAAGCGGGGGTGTATTCAAAAAGTCCATCCCCGCCGTCTCCGTTACCGCCGCCACACCCTTAATGCACATCCGTTTCCCTTCCTTTATTTCAGCTATCGCATGGCCAAAATGCTACGTTCCCGACGAAAGTTTGATCAAGTCCGACGGCTTCTTTTTATGTCGAACGTCACGCTATGAAATTGCTGACTTCTTCATGCGCCGAAGATTTGATAAAAAAGTCGACGATTTCGAAGATTAATAATTTTTGCAATTATAGATTAAAGTTATCTTGATCAACAAGCGTAAAGAAAATGCATTTTATTTTATCAATATGTGATGCAAGCATTTGTAATCTATCGATTTAATTATTTAATTTCATATATTTTTCAAAAATTCGAAATAACTCTAAACTATCTTTTTTGAAGCTATATTAAATTTTAGAAACGGCAAAGAATAATTGTTACACTACGCAATGTGATAAAATAATACTAAAAAAATTCATTTAATATATTTGATATATCGATTTATTCAGTGAAATATTAGCTGTTAAGATGCAAAGTTTTTTCTCAGACTGTTTGACAAGTGTTTATTGAAAGTCATCCGTGAAAATACGTCTTCCTTTGCCAATAATTCCTTCGCGCTGATTTCTTTCTACGCGTTTGTCTCGTATAAAGGAAGTAGACAAGGAGTTATGGGGGAGAGGAATAGGTAAGACATGATAACGGAGGAGAACCGAGAATCTTTGAAGGTGACCAATTGAGAAGAACGACCGATGTAACGAAAAATAACGGTCGGTAGCACGGTACAAGAAAAATGTCCATTCGCGCAAACAAATGCTTTCTCCTAGAGTACTTCCACTCGTGTGCTGAAAAGTCTAATCGTAATCGTTCCATTTGCGCTCTTACAGACATTCATATTAAATTTTTATTTCTAAAATATATCTGAATGCGTGTCAAATATAACCAGTATACATATCTCCAACTGTATTAGTTCCGCTATTATTTAACGAAGCGTAAACCACGTGCGTGATAGATCACTTTACAAATTTCTCGCGCAGCACGTAATAATCTTCGCACATTCTACCCATGCTTGGGCCAATATTGAAATTTACGCCGACACGAACGCGGCTTTCGCCATCATCCTGGAAGGAAACGACCGTGACACTTATTTGGTCAACGCAGTGGGGCACGAGGAAGAAAGAAGAGACGGATATCGCCGGGTGTATCGTGCCGAATGGAGCGGAGAGAAGCGAAAAGGGTGGACCCCTGATGTCGAATAATCGTGCCCATCTTTCCGCGTCGGCACGGCCGGTGGAGGTGCAAAAGGTGGCCCCACCTTCTCGGCGAACGTGTCCTCTTCGCACCGCCCGTAACCCTCTGATTCCCGTATTTCTTCCTTCCTCGTGTACGACCGCGCGGGCCCTCTGGACTCCCACCCAGGTACCGATCCACTTCCCTTTCTTCCCCGGGTCGCTTCGAGCGCGCGCGTCCGCGTGCACGCACACGGGCGCACGCGCGTACCCACGCGCTCACGACGCCGGACTCACGCGCGTACAAATACACACACATACACACACACACACACACAAAGGGGGAAAACGTTTCTCGGCTCCGTTCTGTCTCTGTCTAGCTCGCTCGCGCGGTAGAAAATCAATATAGGGAAACCAGGAAGCAGCGGCAGGGCGTCGACAGCAACCTCCGTGTAGGCTCCATCCCGGTACCACCTCTACTCTCCGTCCCGTTCTCTCGTTCCGCATCCCTTCTCTCTTTGCCCCGTTTAACTCTCTCTCTCGCTGTATCTCTCCTTCTTGCCAATTTCGTTCTTCCCGTCTTATTCGTTTTTACTTGGCGTCATCTATAGCACTAGTTCCCGGTGTCCGCACCGTAATTTCCATCCACGCCGGTCGTTACGTGTTTCTTACGAAAGTCGATTGTCTATTGGCCGGCATCAGTATCGAGCATCCGTCTTTCAGGGGGTGATCGGCAACGTCTTGACCGTGACTACCACTACCACTTCGGTAACCACCCCTCCGATGGGAGGCCACTGCGCAAATTCTCCCACCGTCCGGGAGTAGGTATGCGGGTCGAGACGGAGAGAGAGAGAGAGAGAGAGATAGAAGGCTGCCGCGAAATTGGGTAATCCGGAAGGAGACGCGAAGAAAACACCGCAGCGTCGTATGTACACGTCGGGGAAACGCTGGAGCTTATACTACGCGCTGTACATCTTGGAAAATGCATCTTCGGAAATGCTGTCGGTGATTCGTTATCCCCATCTGAGGAACGTACATATCTATTTGCCAAATCGAATTTGTGTGTGAATATATTCCGTAACAACGAGTTCACGCGCGGCTCGACCGCAAACAAGACCCAACGGAATCTATAACAATCCCCTTCGATTGAAGACGCACCACAGCGTGATGCGGCTCACCCCGTATCAATTACGAGGATTCCGTTCGACCTAGAATCTCACGCGCCTCCATAGTTGCGAGA